CTTTAACCGCCAGATGAGGATGAATAGGAGGAGGAGGAGGAGGAATTAAGGTACTGCATCTTACTTCGGCTCCTCCCTCTATAGGGGGCCCCTCTGGTCAATTTTCAATTATTATCTCTCGCGTGTGTGTGTGTGTGTGTGTGTGTGTGTGTGTGTGTGTGTGTGTGTGTGTGTGTGTGTGTGTGTGTGTGAGTTTGTGTGTATATGGATCTAAACTTTGACTTCCGTGGGTGGTTGGTGAGTGCTTTGATGTGTTTTGCTCCTTCTTTCCTATAAAAAATCTACTGTCCCTATCTTCCCTCCTTCTATTTTATGTTTGTTACTCTCTTGTAACACCTCTAATCTTCTTGCGCTCATATGACCTTATGCAGTTGCGAGCGCCGTAAAACGTCTACTAATGCTAAAGCCTTGACTTCCCTCTTTACAGGTGACGAGTACTCTGAACGAGCTAGTGCAAAACTCCACCCAGCTAGAGAGTAACGTGGTGTCAGTGGAGAGGATAGTGGAATATTCCAAGCTACCCCAAGAGGTCAGTCCTTTTGTCTTTTGGTAAGTGTTTTAGGCACGGCGCTCGCAACTGCATAAGGTCATATAAGCGCGCGGGACACATACTTTTTCAATTGGTAGGAATTTTTGAATTTTGCCCAAGTGGCGGCCGAAGCGTGCTCTTATCGATTTTAGACCACCAAGGGATCTTTAACGTGTACAACTTGCACACGGGCCCTCCGAGATTTTTCGCCCTTCTCCGAGAAGGTTAGATGTAGATCAGAAGATCAGGGGTGAGGCTGAAAAACAGAAGCAAGAAGAAGCCAAGGAGTAACAGTAGAAAGGCTACAGAAAGAGTCAGGAGCCCAGAGGAGGGGGCAAATGATGTGAGGGGGTGGAGGCAGAAAGAGGAGATGAAAGAAGACGACAGATGAGAGCAGGAAAGGAGATAAAAGTAGACAATTTTACAGAAGAAAATTTTTCGGTCACTACCCGGATTCGAACCCGGGATCTTTGAAAGAGAGGCCAACACCCCAACCTCTAGGCCACGACAGCCCCCAGAGGTAAGTCCATATGGGACGTCACAAACGTATCTTTTCGCTACCCTAGCATTACAAAGTTCTATCCGCTCAGTGCTTAATTTTGATATATCTGATGTTAAAATGTTGAATTTGACAACATGCCAAGCTTTAGCGAATGCAATAATTTGAATATCTTGGTAACAAACTCCGGATAACCTTACAATTTTGATAGAGCAGATAGAACATAATAATTTAGTTTCCAACCTCATGGTCTTAGTATCTCAAAACAGTATGAAAAATGTCAGATAGAACTTTATAATTCTAAGATAGCGTTTTGTTGCTGGGACAGAAGGTTTTCCTTTGTATGAAAGACACAAAAGGCACAGATTTGTCCTTCATTGCACGCTTTTAGCGATTCTCAGTAGTTGTACGAGGTGTTGCGTCTTCATCGGCACATGCTTTGTAATTTCGGAGGTTTGGCTGGTTCGACCCCACTGGCCGTCAGCGCCAGCATCCCTGACAGGGACCCCACTGGCCGTCAGCGCCAGCATCCCTGACAGGGTTGAATAAAATGTCCCAGTAGACAAACGGAAGCGCCCGAAAAGGATAAGTGAAGTCGAATTTTATTTGAAATGCTTGAGATACCAATATTTATCTTGTCATTTTTAGCAAACTGCGAAGGATACGTGAGAGAGTAGGGAATCCTCATCCTGTCTGGAAACGCGATCTCAAATAGAACGTCTTTGATGGGTTGTTTGGTTGATTGATTGATTGATCAATTGGTTGGTTGGTTGGTTGGTTTGTTGGTTGGATTGTTGGTTGGTTGGTTGGTTGGTACGTTTATTGAATGATGGGTTGATTGGTTTGTTGGTTGGTTGGTTGGTTGGTTGGTTGGTTGGTTGGTTGGTAGGTTGGTTGGTAGGTTGGTAGGTTGGTTGGTTGGTTGGTTGGTTGGTTGGTTGGTTGGTTGGTTGGTTGGTAGGTTGGTTGGTTGGTTGGTTGGTTGGTTGGTTGGTTGGTTGGTTGG